ATCGCCTGCGGCACAGAATACACCCTGAGGGTAAAAGTGCGTCGCAGAGCCGGACACGCGAAGATGAGGCATTCTCAAAGAGCTGTTCAGAAGACGCATCGAGGCTTTTCTGGTGGTGATGGTGTCTTTGACAGTGATAAAAAAGGCAGTGATCGCCGGAATGCTGGTGGGAACAATAAATGGAATACTGCTGCCGTGACACCGGCATGGAATAAAGGAAAAGACGAAGGTATTTGAAACTTAAGTAAATTATTTCCTAGCAGCACTTGAACCTTGATAAGTCATACTCCCTTCGTCAATTTTTTTGTTCCGAGTCCCTGTCTTTATTCCCTTGGAAACAATGCCATTAAAAAACCTTCCTAACTCAAAGGCTTTCCCTCTCCAACTTCTGTAACTCGAATTTTCTAGAAGCCCTTTGGCTGTTATTTAAATTAATTAAAAATGCAAGGAAAATTTGAGACAGGGACAAATTGAGACAAAACTATCTTAATGAGGAGAGGAATCTGGTTGGGTTGGTTCAAAGATTTGAGTTCTTTCCTTGATGAGGAAAACTCACTTGACAGGGATGATGGACAAAAAGGAGAAACACCCTGGGATCATTGACTTTTCACAAAGCAGTGAATTTTTTTTTCATATCCCTTCCTATTATCTTTGAACACTAACTTTCTCCTTATTATTTTTAAACATAAGGTAATAGGGAGAAACACAGTCATGTCATTTTGTCTCAAAATGTATCTGTCTCAGATTCTCAAATTGTATTTGTCTCAATTTTTCCATGTCTGAAAAAGTTTCAGTCTGAAACTGTCCCTGTCTCCAACAGTTTCTGTCTCAAATTGTCCCTGTCTCCAAAAGCATCTGTCTGAATTTGGTCCTGTCTAGAATTGACCTTGTCTCAAATTGGCCCTTTCTCAAATTGTATGACTCGATTTGTCCTAGATCCGTTCTGATAAAATGTGAAGGGATTAATATTATTAGGAGTTAATTGCTATTAGGATTTATCAAAAAATAAATCAGTTCTCATTCTGTTGTCTTGAAAAACTGCTACTGGTAGTACTGATCAAGATGCTGAATTTGGGCACTTACGTGTTCAATCAATCTTAACTCTCAAGTGAGTAATGGCTTATGAGTTCATTTTCCATATTTTATTTTATCTTTGGAAAGCCATGCATGCCAAATGTTGGGATTTGTTGTGCTGAATTTGATGGACAAAGAGAAGAACCTACTGCCTGGGTGATTGAAAAGTGAAACTTTTATCTTTGATAATGTTTTCAGATTTTATTCAAACAAAAGAAGACTGTTTGGAAGTGATCAGTAAAATAATGTCACAGATTGGATTGAATTTCACGTATTTATGTGATCAAGTTTTTTTTTTTCATTTGTTGCTGTGTCTATTGACTCAACAAACATTAAAAATGTAAAGAAGACTCTTCACATTTTTTTTCTTTTTCAATAAACTGGATAATTTTGTGGTTGAAATATGTTCTCTGATTTTGAATGCGTGTATCATATTAATTGCATTTCTTTGTTTTCATTGTTTTAGGCTGGTTCCTGGTGCTGGGATGTGTTGACAGCGGAGAGTTGCTGGGACTGAAACGTGTTGGTTACATTGCAACCAGAGCAACTTTCCATCTCACATTCCATACCCCACCTGTACCGGGTAAGTGTCAAATTTATCGAGTGATTATTAATTTACAAAAGTTGCGGATTATCAAATTATTATTTCATAAAAGCTTACGTGCGTTGATTTTTAATCGATATAATCGAACATTAAATCTGCTGGTGACGAGTTGAATCAAGCGTTACTGCTCTTGAATTTATTGTACTTTGCCAAATTCTTTAAATATATACTGTGGAGTGAGTCTCCGCCCAACGAAAGACCCAGACGACGAAAAATCCGCATAACGAACACTTTTAGGGAATAAAGCCTGACTCGGATTATGAAAGTATTTTATCTAGCGAAATTTTTAAAGCCAAAAATTGTGAAAATTACAACAAGTTTGTTGGTGAAGCTGAAGAATTTTACGGAAATCAATTGAGAGAAAAGCAAAAAAAAAAAAAAAATTTCTTGTGCATTTTTATGTTACTGTATTGCAATTGTAGACATTCAGGAAGTTGTTATGATTACTTCAGTTTCATGCTAAACATTATTAATTTTTTTTTTTTTCTGAAGAAAAAAACTGGTTCATTGTGGTTCTTTCGGTGAGTGGCAGGCCAAAACTGAAGTAGTGTACTGTACTGTAAATTACAATGTACAGTGAGACGCCCACATGCGGACACCTCAACATGTGGACAACTCAACATAAGGACACTTATTTTCCTTTTAAAAATGGTCCAACATGCGGACACTGACTTGACATATGGACATAGTGCGCTAAAATTGAAAATATGTTTCAGGCCAAATTTCAAGGAACAGGTATTTCTAACCCTGAAATCTATGTAAGAAAAGTTCTTCTGCATTTCTCTCATCAATTTACCATATTATTTTTTTACAGAGAATGCAAACATTTCAATTTACTCTACTGCACATATGTATCAGTATTCAATGCTCCAAATGTTCTTATTGTGTGGCTGTTATTGATTGAATCAGTTGCAATTGGGAATCAATTTTT